ACCATCTCTACTGCCACGCTTATCAAAAACGCTACACCTTTAGCTGCGTAGATCACTACGAAATTGCATATAGCGCTTCCTGGAAAGTCCAGAGACCAGAAAACCTGGAAGGATGGGGATTGGAAGCGACAAAGGGGAAGAAGCCAAATGCTTATGGAGTGTTCATAGTTGGCGATCGTACGTGCGATTAGGCGATTAGTCTAAAATGAAAAATATACGTATAGATTAGGCGATTAGGCGGGAAGACTACATACGTATTGATTGGTTTGCTCCGCCCATAGAGCGTTGTAGGCGAGTAGGCGATTAGGCGATCGCTCAATGGGCGGAGCAACAAATCAATACGTATCCTTCCCTTATCGCCTACTCGCCTACTCGCCTAATCGACTACTCGCCTACTCGCCTGATCGCCTAATCGCACGTACGTGAACACTCCAATACGGTATTCATTTCCACCAATCTAGTGTTCAACTATCTTGATATGAATTGTTGAGAAAAGATAAATAGATCAAGTCAGGGTGGCAGTTTGAAGTGATTAGAAGGCATGATTGCTGGAGACTGCTTGAGGAGGGGATCCCAAAGCACCAAGAGCCACGCATTAGGCTTGTGAACAATATTTCGCCATCTCTGTGTGCTGAAGACCAGCGGATTAGACGTGTTGCAAATATAGTGCCGCTTCAGTGCCACGAAAACAGTCCAGAACGCTCAATGCTTTTGTTTCAGGATAAGTGCTTTCATAGTTACGGCTTTCGATCGCATGCTAGAAACATTTCCATTATACTACGTTATCAAACTATCCACTCTTCTCTTTTTACTGGTCGAACCGTCATGTCTGAATGAAAAGCTCAAAAAATTCTTCAAAATATCTGTAAGTGCCTAGTCAGTTGTTCCGATTCTTATAACTAGAACGCTAGGGTAGTGGTCCAATTTTCGTAAACGTTTGGACTCCAAGCGTGGATAAAGTATGTAGTGGTGAAACTGACTAGGCAAAGGTGACATGCGGCTGGTGCTCTCATATGTGAAGCTGTAAGCTCTCAGTTGGCCAAGTACCAGCATCCGTCTGGGTTCAAGTAATCGCTGCCGCGACGTATGCGTTCCATCAAGCAATTGCATACAAACAAGCCTAATCTGGTGTTCAGTTGCAGTTAAGTTGCAAAACCAAGCCAATTCAGTACGAACCTGTGGCGAACGAATCCGACGACGATTCGATGATTGACTAGGAGCATCCTAAATGTGCTGTGTTGCCACGACATCATGAAATGCCTCGATCTGCCACTGGTGATGCTGTCAATAAATATCTCACTTCCTTCCCTTTTTGAGAATTAGACATGAAATGGCACAACACGCTTGCACGAAAATATACTCACCCTGAGGAAGCGGGGCGTGCGCAGTCAGTTATGAAGGAAAGGTGGTAAGGTGGATAACAAGGTCTCATCGCGGCTCACTATGCCCAACAAGCGGCTGTGTGCTAACAGAAACGTGTTGAATACTAACGCTATATTGTCATCGTTTGCTCTTCATTTCAAAACGGCATTCCTTTCAGCACCTGTGTCCTCTAGGCCTATACGCTGCATATGTATGTATATACGTACATGTATGCTTGTCACATAATAGTATTACATAGGTTGTCTCATAAATAGTGTCGCTTTTTTTCAACCAAAAAATTTTCATCCAAATCCTCATGCTTTTACATCGAATCATATACCATTCGAAAGAGAATTGTCTGCTCTACAAAATATCGTGTTCCTTCTTCCATCTATGTTCCATGGTTTTCAAATTTTAGGCCTGTGAAATGGGAGGTCCCGCCGACAAAAATTGACCAAACCGACAACTAGCTCTAACTTTATGTTCCCTTGCCGAGAAATCAATCAATGGATGTACCCTCTACTTACTCATGACCTCTTCTGAACATTCCACCCTTAGGTTGCCGAAAAAGGTTTGCCCTGTTTCTTTTCGAATTGGCCAACCGATAAGTCATGGCAATTTTCAAATTGAAATTCTTCCTCTGAAACGCTATTGTTTTATATCAACTGGTATATCTTTTGTGAGCACTTCTTCTGCTTTATTCGCTCATTTGTTTTGTTTTGATGTTTGTTAGGAATTAGCTCGAATTTTAGGGTTTAGGAGTAAGGTGCTTTGTCCACAAAAGTGACCGCATTTCTTTGAAAGAAATTATCCTTGAGGAGATGAGAAAACCAACCAGGCGTACATTCCTAACTTAGTCACGACTTGTTCTTGAAATTCCACTAGTTTTTCAATGTCTCGGCTGTAAAAAAATTTCGACCTTTCGCATCTCAGGAGTTTCTCACCATCTATGTCTGGTGAAAAGCCGGTCTGAAATGAGATGAGACTTGTTGGGAAACCTAATAGTGTAATGTTTAGAAGAGGTCATGCATAAGTAGAGGGTACATCATTGATTGATTTCTCCGAAGGGAACATAAAGTTAGAGCTAGTTGTCGGTTTGGTCAATTTTTGTCGGCGGGACCTCCCATTTCGCATGCCTCAAATTTGAAAACCATTGAACATAGATGGAAGAAGAACACGATATTTTGTAGAGCAGACAATTCTCTTTTGAATGTATGTATAACTCTCTGTAAGAAGCGGTGGATCAGATACAAAATCTTCACTGGTTGAGAAAAGCGATCAATTATTGTATCGAGACAACTGCTAATACAATGTCATTATAGTACGTTGTCTGTCAAAGTATGATGTTCCTTGTTAATGACTGTTGGGGTTATCACATGCAGACGAGCCCGATTTGGTCGCTGGCTTCGACAAAGCGAATCAAGGGGCAAAAAGCAGTCTCACTTCGCAGACTCTAGATCACCTTTCTTGGTATTTTCTTCACCACGCACTTTTATACCGCATTTATTCCCCAAGCGCAGACCGGCCCTATTTTAATGGCGCAAAATTCAGCATTGGGATTTTCCTGCGAATATCAGTCCATACCTTCGACGGGCAGTACCCACGATTATTAGAGGAACTGGTGAATAGATAGTGACAAAGACCGCGCTAATAAGTGTCGGCAGTCAACTGTCGTTGTAACGGTGCAGGTTTCATGGTTAGTTGAGCCTTCGTGCCGTAGCACTCTTCAGTCATGTCATTTGGTCAAGGTGTAGGTCCAGCACTGCGAACGAACTTGAGAAGTAGTCAGTCGTCGCGTGAATTCGGGAGATACTTTAGTGGTTCACCTTATCAAGAATTGAAATGAGCGAGTAATCTTTCTTGAGCTGACGGATTACCCTGATGTACACCCTGACGTATGCAAGTGTGATCGAATAGCGCATTCTCCCCTGCAATGCCACGCGCTACGCCGTTTTCGCCACATCGTCGCATCCTCGTCCCCAACTCTCTCACTCAACTGAGAGAACCACAGAACTAGTGCACACTTTGTTTATCAAGGCTTCAAGGCGCATACAGGTGCATATGTCTCTTCTCAAGTATCCACTCTAACCTAATACCCTTTACTCGTCGGTTTGGTGTCCACCTGCGAAATATGTCAAAGGGATTCCTAAAAAATTTGAGTTACTGTTTTTGTTAACGCATGAGTACGAATTTGAAACTGTTCTCATGAAAAGTAGTGTTTTAGGAAAAGTCCTTAAAGCGAGGTGAAGTTCCTGTTCAAGCAGAGCCTCCAAAGCCTCCGCCTCCCCCGCCGTCGACGGCATGGGGTAGATTCACAGAATCTATTCGATCAGCTCTTGGAGGAGCTCCGGCTCCCGCACCTGCTCCACCACAACCGGTACACCTGCTTGATATTGGTTGAATTCGGGAAATGTAGCTATCAAAGAAAAATTTTTCAGGTCAGGCAAATTCCGTCACCGCAAACCCGAAGTCGAAGGTCCACCTCACAGAGGACGGCAGTGATGGGCACACCAAAAACGGCGAGCCAGCGAAGGTCGCCGGTTTCTGGCGCGCCTACACCTTACGACGCGAAGCCGTTGGTGCAGTCCAAACTGTCGTCATCTACTTCTGAGTCGATCGCACAAGCCAGCATCGCGCCAGGTCCGCCTGTAGGAGTAGGGGAACAGCGACCTACGCCGTCAACGTATATTAACATACCGAAGCCCGTTAACTAGGGGCGCGGTCGCTTCAGTTAGAGTAGCACCAAATTTGGGACCCAACTCGGCGATGCTACAACCCGGTGAACAACCGCCACCTCAACCTTCTCCCAGCCGAAGAATGGCCAAAAATATTTCCAAACGTCTGTAGATTTATACTCTTGAGGTTCAATATTCAACAAATAAGAAGATGTGTAAGTTTTATAAGCACCAATAGTCCTCGAATGTGGGACATTTTGGCTGAGTGTTCCGCATTCCATGAAGCACTTATGTCCGTTTTTGATTTGTCTGTCTGACAAGTTCTTACTCAAAGGTATGACTCAATAAATACTGAAAGCCTTTTCTTCTTGATGATTTTTATGTCGTCTTAGTGGGCGTGAAATGCTTATTACGTACCAGTTTTCAGTTGCCTACAATGACAAATTTTCCTACTACCTTCCTTTGACACTCCTCTTCATTTCTGGCTCCAGGACCCAATTTCAGGGGCGTTTCAACAGAGAATGGTTACGAACGGTTAAGATGAGGAGGTTCCGTGGAGAAGTTATTCAAACTCAATAGCAAACCATAGCATCTATCGGTCGCTTGCGCTGCACCTACCCATGGCATCATAACATATTTTATATCATATCATATTTTCCCTGGCCACTCAGAGGATATCGTGAAGGTGGAGAGCACCTGTTCTTGCTTTGGGTTAACGTTGTCCCATGGGGACTCTGCTACCAGAGTAGGATCGCAGCCCGTATCAGTAAAGCATCAATATCAGTCCGTGTGGGATCAACCAAAACGATATGAAAGGTATTCCTTTATCTTTTGATCAAGCTTGAGCATCAATTTGACCGAAAGCGCCAGTTCGTCACTGACTCAATTACGCACTGCTAAGTCCACTACTGCAACATTATTTTTTTTTATTATTCACACAAAGCCTTAAGTTGATTGGTAATAAAGCAATATGACCACAGAGCCTTCCCAATTTTTCCGAACGTCATTCGGCGTCTTCATACTCGAACAGATGCTCGTTCTTGAAATAAAAGAGACGTGAATCGCGATGCGTTCCGCAGGAGATCTCGAACGTGGTGATCGTTGTGTTGATGCACACCTCCTTTCGCCACAGGTACCTGAATCTCCGGAATAAAACTGTTTTGTGGTCTCCTTTGTCTTTTGTCTCTAAAGTTGAGTCAACGTTGTTCAGTGAGGCCAAATGGTGGGCGAAATATTCTGCAAACTGTTTCAGCACGAAAATGGAAGGAGTTTTGCACGGCATTCAAGGAGCTGTCGTGAAGTGTGCGCTCACCAATCTTTTCGTCTCCTTTCCAAGTTGTACGTGTAAAACATGGAGCACTGGTGATTCCACTGAGGCTTCTTGGTCACAATCGTTGCCTCTTCAGACTCCTCACAGCCCAGCCCGCAATAGGCACGTGTTGCATTCGTCTGAAAACTACGATATTTGAAGACTTTACAGACGTAAAGGTAGGTGTGATAGAAGCTACAACTTTTGCTCTCTGGATTGCTCCGCAGCTGCAATATAGGCGATTTAAAATTGAGTTTCTTCGAGTTGCTCTCAATTAATTCGCTTAAAATTTGCGCCGGGTTTGTTTTTGAAGTGTAACAGTAGAAGCTTAGCAACACCTTTTAGATTTTGCTGATGAATGGCCTGCACCATGCCATATAAAGCGAGTGGACGCCGAGTGAGCTGTTCCTCTCATAAGGTCAAGGATACTCAGAGGGGGTGAATCATTCCACGGTCGACTTATCTTCGGAGCTGGTGAAGGTGGAGTGTAATAAGGAGGCAGGCCTTAATACACGAGCGGATCTGAGTGAGTGGCAGTGAGATGATTTTTTTCAAATGCCGCGCGGGAAGCTTGACCGCGTTCAACCGTGAAGTGTCCACTGTTGCGCTAGATTGAAATACACATTGACTCAATCGCCATATGATGTTTCTAGTGGCTCGGGGTGCGATTTTTACGGCTGGTACAGTTCTATCACGCGCTACCTGGGGTTGTCGTTGTGTGCGTACCTCACAGGGGTTAGAGTGATGGATCGCAATCACCCTTGCTTTGTAATATCGGTGGAGCTGTACGAAAATAGGCAAGAATGAGAGGTGAATTCGTGAAACTGTCGAAGAACCTTAAGTTCTTTGAGTTTGTGGGTGCTGAGTGCCCTAACTTATAGATTAAACCTGTGGTGCTAATTGAATATAATACACTGCGTTCAATAATGATACAGCCACCTAAAATTTGTTTGAAAACCTAAAGTTCACAGAGTTTCTGAAAAACTGTCCAGATAGAAAATGTGCCAAATTTCATGGCGAGTTCAGACATCACTACGAAAATTCATGTTGAAAACGCCAAAAAATTTTGTGCTTAATTTTCAGAAGTGGTCGATTTTCCTATGTTCAAAAATGATACAGCCACCCCGTGTTTCTTAGGTTAAGTTTCTTGCTTCATGAAACTGATTCGCAGTTATCAGGCTTTTACCCTAATGTTCCCACAAGATAAAAGACAGTTTAGTTTTGAAAAAAGGTAAACAGTAACAAAAGAAAGACCAGGAATCGTCAAGCAGTCATATCGCGCGAAAATTGAGTCGAAGCTCCAATACGGTTAACAGTCTTTTCTGGAATCCTGTAGGTTATGGAACAAGAAGAGCTCTGGATGTTCATCGTTGCTTTTTGGTCAATTTTAAATTCGCATTTTGGGGAAACATTTCAATTTCATCGAACAGTGCCCGGAATTCCAGTCTTCTTTCAGAATTAAACTTTCAATGGATATTGTTTGGGATGTGTTGAAGATTTCCGAGGTCATTCTTCAATGGAGAATCAAAGAAACCTTGTTTGTGAAAAGAAATTCTCTCGAAAACTGAGACATTTTTTGCTCGAAAGTGTAGCCACGTCCACTGGAGCAAGATCAGTTCTTTTGTCTGTTGTGTCTTACTTTCTGCTTACTTTCTTTCGAGCTTTTCCTTCCTCATTAAGGGTTTTTCCTTTCATTAGACTCCTATGAAGCGAAAAACATTGAGAGAAACGCAGACAGAAAGTAAGACACAACAGACAAAAGAACTGATCTTGCTCCAGTGGACGTGGCTACACTTTCGAGCAAAAAATGTCTCAGTTTTCGAGAGAATTTCTTTTCACAAACAAGGTTTCTTTAATTCTCCATTGAAGAATGACCTCGGAAATCTTCAACACATCCCAAACAATATCCATTGAAAGTTTAATTCTGAAAGAAGACTGGAATTCCGGGCACTGTTCGATGAAATTGAAATGTTTCCCCAAAATGCGAAGTTTAAATTGACCAAAAAGCAATGATGAACATCCAGAGCTCTTCTTGTTCCATAACCTACAGGATTCCAGAAAAGACTGTTAACCGTATTGGAGCTTCGACTCAATTTTCGCGCGATATGACTGCTTGACGATTCCTGGTCTTTCTTTTGTTACTGTTTTGTTTACCTTTTTTCAAACTAAACTGTCTTTTTTATCTTGTGGGAACATTAAGGTGAAAGCCTGATAACTGCGAATCAGTTTCATGAAGCAAGAATGAATTTCAACGAAGAAACACGGGGTGGCTGTATCATTTTTGAACATAGGAAAATCGACCTCTTCTGAAAAAATTAGCACAAAATTTTTTGGCGTTCAACATGGATTTTCGTAGTGATGTCTGAACTCGCCATGAAATTTGGCACATTTTCTATCTGGACAGTTTTTCAGAAACTCTATGTGAACTTTAGGTTTTCAAACAAATTTTAGGTGGCTGTATCATTATTGAACGCAGTGTATTTATTCAGCATAGTGTTGGAGGAATTAGTGTGCAGAGGTCGTAGTAACCTTTCTGGGGCAGAAAAAGGGTATCTTTTGAGGTTTCGGGGAGTCATAGATGGAGAAGGAGCGGGATAGGTGATACATAGGAAAAGTGGGAAAATGAAATAGTGACCGAAACTCAAGATCCAAGGTTTGCCGTCTTAGTATGTAGTCGAATATTTTTCAACCCACCCCCCTCCCCACCCCCTCGCCACATTGACGGCAATTTGGGAGCGCAGCTGGGGTGTGTTAGGTCAGCGACAGTGCTGGCATCATCGAACAGCGGTAGATCGCACGAATCAATTGAAGGAGCTGGGGAGCTCGCGCTGCTGTGGTCATTTCTGCAACGCGTTGTTCACCCAGGGACATGCACAGAGAGCGCTAACGTGGCGTTAGTGGTCGACATCGCTCATATGAGGAAGTACCACACAGGAAGATAGGAATGCGCTAATCCGTGCCGTCTATCGTTCGATGATGCCAGCAGTGTCGCTGCTTTCTGCAAATCCTTTTTATGTGCTTTCTCACACATGGAAGGCGATTCCCAGAGAGGCAGCGCTAAAACTAGAAATGCTTGGTGGTGCTCACAGCGTCAATTTCTTCGAAACATTCAGGGTTCTGCTCGATGACGAAGTTTGGATCGAATGAGTGAACATCGGGTGTTGTCACCGCCGTAGTGAACACATTCGAGTCGACGCGATTCTGAAATTTTCAAATTATTTGGCCATGAGCAAAGCGTCTTCAGTTTTCAGTGGCACAGCAAGGGCATTTCATGGGAAAAGAAAAGGGCAGAGAACATGCTGAATGACAATTGGCTCAAAGGGATAGCTGCTGCTCACCTCACATTTCACTTTTTCAAAACAGCCACGTACCCCGTAGTTGAGCGAGAGGAGTCAACAAATAAACAAGTCAGCGATGGCGGACCAGACAGTGGTCCGCATAAGTGAGCTCTATTGCTGAGACAGTAGTATAAGCGTCTACGAAAGCTGGGTGCTTATGGGCGACTTTTAGCCGATCTAATGCTGCAACCTGCTGTCACTTGAGTATTGTACTTTTCGATCGAGGAGTAACAGTGGACGTGCAGCGAAGTGTTTCAAAAGGGAACATGGGCCCTAGGAGTACCTCATGACGTTTTATGGGGGATGGGAAACAAGCTCTATATCATAACAGGCTGTTCTGGTCATTGAATTTGTGTTAGCTTTAAACTTGTAAGCATCAACGTTAGCAAAGG